GGGGCCATGCTCATCTTCTTTCTCTGTATGATTCCAATTTTAAATTTTGATGGATGGCCCGAAGAACCACTCAGTGCCATTCCGTTCTACTGTCTTCACCAGAATAGAATGCCCGGTCATTGCAGCAGTATTTGGCACAACTTTCAGTCTAGATACAGCGATAACGACTGGGCATTCTATTCGGGTGAAGACAATAAGGACCACCAGCAAAGTGCCCTGAAGGACAAGAGCAGGAAACTGAAAATAAAAAGGGAAAAAGAAAAGAAGTTTATCACTACAGAGCATGGCTACGCCGGACCCGGACATTTCCGGACATGGAACCGGACCCGTGTTCGGTAGTTTCCGGACGTCCGGAATTCCGGACATTCCCGGACCTCGGACATGGGGGGTCTGGACGGTCGGGATGTCTGGACAGGTCCAGAAAATGTCCGGACCTGGCGGACCATTAAAAAAAAAAAAAAAAAACTGAAAAAAAAGTATGTTATGCAGAATAACAATGCAAACCACTTTTGCCGCAGAGTCATGTCAGAATTCCTAACCAAACTTGAGTTAAAAGTCAAAAAGTATGAAAAGCTTAAAAAAAGACTTAAAAAAGTTTTAAAAACTCATAAAAGGTAATGAATGATTCATAATAAAAAACTTGGAGTTGTCTAATAAATGATTATAGAGAGAGAGCATGTCCGGACCCCCCAAAAAAGTATAAACGGGCCTGAAAAACCCTCAAAACAATTTTGGGGGCTTGGCTCCTCAATGGGGAAGGGTCCTGGACCGTTTTTTTCTTCTTTTTTTTTTTTCCCTCAAAATTTGCCAGATCCGGACCGTCTGGACCGGACGTCCGGATTCCGGACCAAATCCGGACTGTCTGGACGGCGGTCCGCACGTCCGGATCGTAGCCATGCTACAGAGGCATGAAGAAACATCTTATTTTGACCAAACAGCTGCCTGTTATTGTACCATGGAATTTTCGATTTTACATTTATTTTTTTGACTCCGAACCCTAAGTGGTGGCTGTGATCAGCACTTCTGCCTTTGGATCCCGCCACGCACACAGCGAATCGAACTGGCACCCTTGAACATTTATGCTTATATCGTAAATGGTCTCATTTAGTCATTTTACGATATTGTCTCTCTCAAACCCTTACGTTTACAACTTTACATCGTAAACGATTTCGTAATTCAATTTCAGGATTCGATCTGTTTTTTTTTTTTTTCTTTTTTTTTCTGGATGGGTAGCGCCATCCTGTAACCTCAGCTGTGGGGGAGCTAGATGTCCAGATTCACTTAGCTGCTGTGGATGCACCCGTTAATGCTGCGCTGGCGCTTTGACGACCCATTGGCACACAGTGAAATTCAGGATCGGCGAAAAGCGGATCGGAGGTAGTGGCGGTTTAAATACTAACACATGTCGTCCTTGCGAAGGGGCCTTGCTAATCTTCTTTCTCTGTTTGGTTCCTATTTTAATGGATGTCTCGCAGGACTTATAGGCAAAATCCTAAGGGTTGTGCTTTTCTCTATTTTTGAATTTTTTCCTAAGCAGATATATGGATAAATATGCAAGATTGATGCAGATTTTGCAGCCCATTGCTGAAGAGGTATTTAAGGTATGTACTTGTGAAGACGGATCTCTCTCTCTCTCTCTCTCTCTCTCTCTCTCTCTCTCTCTCTCTCTCTCTCTCTCTCTCTCTCCTTCTTTCCTCTGTTTGTTTTTTTTTTTTTTTTTTTTTTTTTTTTGTTTCCAACCTTGTTGTAGTGAATAGCACAGCATAGCACAGCATAGCACAGCATAACACAGAATAGCACAGAATAGCAGAGAAACGCACAGTATAGCACAGCATCACACAGAATAGCACAGCCTCGCACATCACGGCACAGCGCAGCATAGCAAATCTAATACTTGTTTGGTCAGGCCGTGTTCATCTTGCAATCGAGGAACAAGTGAAGTCCATCAACATCACACTTTACTGTCTGTCTAGACAGATCGAAGATGTCATGGATATGAGACTATAGCACAGAATAGCACATCATAGCACAGAATAGGACAGCATCGCACAGCACGGCACAGCGCAATATAGCAAATCTAATACTCGTTTGGTTGGGCTGTGTTCGTCTCGCAGTCGAGGAACAAGTGAACGCCTACAACATCACTCTCTACTGTCTGTCTAGACAGATCGAAGATGTCATGGATATTAGACTGACTGGGTGGTGGCATTGTGCGGCTGTTACGGCGGACGGATCTCATAATTGCCATTCTGAGAACCAAATGCGAAGGCAACTGTGGCCTTCGTTCGGCAGAAAAGCGTCTAGTCTGTTTACGTCAGATATGCAGATTATGATTATGTTCAATTTGCTCACTGGGATGCCTCTAAGGCCGATTGGCGCCGTCGATAGAGAGGGCAACCCCCACAGGTTGCTGCAAAGTTGATGTGAGCTGCGCCGTACAGTAACTTTGTCGGGCCTCGTTATGCAGCACAGGAAACGCGAAAAAAAAAAAAAAAAAAAAAAAAAAAAAAACACTAGTGCATCTTCCCGGAGTCCGTTCCTATGGATTGCTTTAAGGTATCTTATCATTTTCTGTGGCAGATGCACATGTCTTCTGTTTTCATTTCGTGTGCACAAATGGTTAACAGGTACCCTGTGGGGAGACCCACCATCCAACGTTGGCACTTCTACTGACTGTGTAGGACTTGTCTGGCGTAACGAGTGTATCTTGCCGCCTCCTCTGGGAGATGCACTCCTGTGTTTTTTTTTTTTTTTTTTTTCTCCCTGTGTCGTGTGTGGTGTGTTGAGGCCCATCACTCAACGTTCGTGCATCTACTGACTGTGTCAGACTTGTCCGGGAACATTGTATACTTGATAATGTCTGGTTTATAGACGTGCACTTATCCGATGCATCTGACTGCAATTACGACCAGCGATGGGTGTTTGTGACCACAATTACGTCCAGAGCGGTGCAGAAAAGGTCGTGGTGTGAGAGTATGCCCTCATACTTGTCTCATGGATGCTACTCCTTACCCTATAGCCATGGGTAATGTCTGACTTGTAGACATGCACTTTTCATCATGCATCTGACCACAATTACGACCAGCGATGGATGTATCTGACCACAATTACGTCCAGAGCGGCGTAGAAAAGGTTGTGGTGTGAGTATGCCCTCAGACTTGTCATGATTTTTTTTTTGTTCGACTTCATTCTGCTTGTGATGGGCGCAGCCGGTTCCAGAGAACAAATTTCTGTCTACAGTCGAAGAAAGCGGAGGAGGTGGTAGTCGGCATAGGAGGGCTCTGAGCATAGGAGGAACAGGAAACACATCTCCATCACGCGACCAACTCGCTAGCACTGCGGGGGGGTTGTCGCCATCCTCGAGTTTCGAGAACTTTCGAAGTGCCGCGGGACGGCCATCCTCTCCTTTAAGGCGGCCTCTGTCACCGGTCAATGACAAACTTAGCGGTGTTGGCAGTACGTCTGGCAGGGGCCGGCAAGGAAAGGCGGCTGATGGGGGAAGCCCCCGTAGGGGGTCGAGCTATGACCTAATCGGGGCAGAGAGAGGTGGCTTCCTCGTAATGAGAAGCGACGAGGATAGTAATCTGGCTGGACGAGCTCTGGACTGGAGTGACGCGGGACTTTTTGGAGACCGTGAGAGTGTGGCTCGAGTGAGGAAGGAGACAACGTCAACAGTAAGGAAGGCCCTGGAGAAAGGAAGGAAGACGGTGAGTAGAGTGACTTGGAGTGTGCTTCCCTCCTCTGTGTGTGTGTGTGTGTGTGTGTGTGTGTGTGTGTGTGTGCAAGTGTGTAACCCGCATAATAAGACATGATTACGGTATGATACGGAAACCTCATCATAATCGAGATCCGAAATAATATATCAGCGTACCTTAAAAATGAAAACTTGTAGGCGTGGTGCAGACGCAGCCAGGTGGGGAATGACTACGCCGGACTACATGAGCAGACTCAGAAATAATATATCAGCGTACCTTAAGAATGAAAACTTGTAGGCGTGGTGCAGACGCATCCAGGTGGGGAATGACTACGCCGGACTACACGATCAGACTCAGGAACGAAAACTTGTAGGCTTGGTGCAGACGAAACCTATACTGTAAGGTTGGGAATGACTATGCCGGACTACACGACCATCTATGCTCCCACTGCACTTTGCAGGCGAACTGGAACACACACGATCAAATAGACACCACAAGACGGGGAAAGGAAGCACAATAAGGCAAAAGACAAGGAGGCAACGCCAACAAACTGCAGAAGGGCACAAGGACTGGGGGGCACGGGGGAGGTGGGAGGCAGACCATACCTAAATGCAAAAAAAACAAAGAAAAACAGAAAAAATGCAATTACAGAAAAA